ACTTATAAATCTTAGCAGAACATTTTTTAGTAACCCATCAAAAGCACCTAAGCCCCTATTGATTAATAACAAATCACTGCCCCCTCTGTTTTAAAATAAAATGAAAATTATATTAAACCAAAAAACACAAACCATTCTATAATAACATTCTTTCTTAATTTATAATTATAACTAATAATAATAATGATATTGTTAAAAAAATGTTATCATATTGGGTACCGACTTATTAGCTTAATAACTTACTTAATCTCCTTCTTCTTCTTTTGGTTTACGGAATTTGAGATTAAACTGACAAATAATTATGATATTCTGCATTGTGTTTACTTCTTTATATCAGGTCGCTGAATGGAAATGTTTCTATTGTTTTCAATTAAATGAGGCTTGGGTTCTTTTAATGGATTATTACCATTTATTGACAAAGATTTTAAAAATATCCATGATAATACAAATATATGGACAATTTTCTTGTGGGTTGTAGATAATCAGTTCTAGTATCATCGAACTGTATTTCTCTTGTAATATAACACCCATAGAATGCATTTCATTATAATGTTTATGACATTATATGAATTATACAGCCTAAATGTTTTTTATACTTTAGGAAAGAAAGTTTGAAATTGATTTTCCACTTGTTCCAGATCTGATATCATCGTATCTTTCTGTATAGTTTTGTATCTTTAAGTTTCCACGTTGGCAGGTGTGCATTCATTGACTGTCCATCGCAAATTTTCGATTTCATTTATGATGATAAAAATATTACTGTCTTATAACAGGTTTGAATTTGGTCTTGGTGTGTTAATGTTCTAAGAGTGCAACATAGTCTTCAAACCGCTCATTGGAGTCCTGATCATCTAGGTTTTCCTCTGGCTCCCAAGTGTTTTCCTAGTTATTTGTTATTATTTAGTATATTTTTTTATTATTTGGATATTAGGTCTTTTTAAACACCGATTAATGATTTACAATGCTGATCAATCAATATTATATGGTGAGTAGGTAATTATTTTTTCGGGGTGACGTACGACATTTGTCGAAATATTTCTTTCAGTGCTTTCGAGGAATCTTTTCTAAACAAAAAGTTTGTACTTTGTTTTAATTATCTGAATTATTCGTGGAGGCCGATATTTGCATTTTGTATTGTATTTATTGATTGTGTTCATAAATTAATTTGTTTATAATTCATAAGGCACATTTATATCAATCAGTGATCTAAGCCAGTCCAACGTAATAATATCTCCTTCGTATTTTTTACATGATAAATTTAATTTCTGTGATTAAATTTGATAATTGTTTTGCTGAGTCTCTATTTTAAATATTTTTTGAAATTATATTTTCATACCTCTTCGTGGTTATAATAATTTACTAGTAGACTCATTGGTTGTGACAACTCTCAGTTGTAAGGGCTTTTCGTAATTTTCTTTGTTTCGGAAAAATGCACTATACCAACATGAAATCATAGTATGTTTGGTATTCATGTTTACGACAATTTGTATATTTAGTTAATGTTAACTCATTCAACTCGCTTCCATTGTGCAAGTTTAAATGCTTCACATTGAGCTTTTCACTGTTTTGCGATTCATTTGAAGCTCCTATAGGCTGGTATTGTTATCTTTGATGTTTGTGATATAGTAACTAACATATCAGCTGAACTGCTGAAACAATAAAATAACAATGAATACCTATACCAGCGGTTCCCAAACTTTTTTAGCTCACGGCGCCCTTTTTGAACTAAACTTTTCTCAAGGCGCCCTTCCCAAGACATAGCATGAATTTATTTTTAGACCAGGTAAATTTCTACGGCAACGCGGCGCCCCTGAAAAGACATTGCGGCGCACCAGGGCGCCGCGGCGCACAGTTTGGGAACCACTGACCTATACTATAAAATGGATATTTCTTCAATCAACATTTATCAATATTTATCAACATCAATAAATATTAACTACCTACTGTAGTAGTATATTTGGTGAACGTTTCATGAATCTACAGTTATTCATTTTTTATTACTATCAATATATCAAAATGAGTCAACATTATTTGAAAATATTACCATATATGGAAAATGATCGTTTTAACAGCCTAGACAGTGTCTTAGCGGGAAAGCATGAAGACAACAAACCCCCAACCGTGTTTGTTTTAGATATTATTATAATAGGTATTATAATATTTTAAACAAATTTTAAAACAAGTGTAAATGAAGGAAAGTTAAATGAGGATTTTTTAGTGATATTTTGTCCTCTCCCCCTCACACAAAATGTTGAATACAGAGCCTTGAATTTTTATACTTACTAAATATTTAATATTACATTATATTTACGGTTAACTTTACCTACATCCAAACCCTGAAAAATAAGATATTTTCAGAATCAGAATCTAAAATAGAGTACATCATGTACACCTACATTTCCTTTAAATGCAATCTTAAACACTTAATTTTATCTTTTTCTCTAATAATAATTGCTGTCGCTTTTATATAATAGAACAGGTATCTTACTCTTTTGACACCCTAACAGCAATAAAATGTATCTGCTTATTTTAGATATTTGTGTTATAATTTATAACTTATATTAAATTAATTTGATATCAAATAATTCGAGATGTTACCAGAGGTATATTTATTTATAATCAAGATTATTGTAAATAAAATATTACATATAAAATATTTTTCCATAATACATGATTTTCAGATAAGTGATTATGTTGTTATTGTGAGTGCTACCGTAATACCTAACCCTAACTCTAATATGCAAAAAATACTTTTAGTTAGAGAGCCTTGATATAGAAAGAGTGGCCAACTGGTGTGATAGCAGCCATTAATCGTCCAAACGTTTCCCGCCTTTTTTTTATTTAAACACTTCAGCTATTGGCATTATACACTATTTTTTTTAGCTTATAACCTTATTATAGTTAGTGTTGTAAAGTATTCAAATACTTTTACCAGTACAAGTATTGAATAAGTACATATTTTAAATACTGTTTATCAAAAAGTATTTAAGTGTATTTTATTCTATTGAACACTTTCCAATAAAATACTATTTTTTAATTAAAACTATTTGGAATATATTATTATCTTAAAATGTATAAATAATTATGATAAAATAATTTTTTTGATAAACATTAAATTTACATAATTGATGTAAGTATATATGTTTATAATTTGATAATGTGTTCACCAATATAATGTGTTGTTCTTTATTCCTATTATGAATTCGATATAATAGATTTTCAAAACATTGGTTATAAGCAGACCTGGATTTTTATGTTTTAACATATTTTTATTGAAAGTATGCAACTCCAAATGGATAATATTTCTCGACGATTAAATTTCCAATAAACTGATATACAATTTTCAGCACACAAAAGCATATTCAAGGGAAAAAAATATTTTGTACAAATTGTTATGTTTTAGAAGTATATTGAAGTAAATAAAGTAATGATGAAAGTATTCTGAATTATATTTCAGAAAAGTTAAGAATAATTTTAATAGAAACTAAAAAAAAGTAATAAATTATTAAAATGAATTAATATTGAACAATTTCAACACAAAAAACTAATGCATTAAGTATAAATATTTGGACGATTAATGGCGTCCATAATCAATGATAACAGCCAGCCAATAGAAAACGTTCACCGAGTTGGCCACTCTCTTATATATCAAGGCTCTCTACTTTTAGTTATAAGACTAATAGTGTTTACATCTAATTATTCTGAATCATTTTCTAATTTTGCTCGAGTTAAATCAGACTTACTATGATTGGACTTGTGTTTCCAATCGCCGAATAAAGAAGTAATTTGGAGTAACTGATCGTCTTTCGGACGGTGGCCACAGATTCCGAGATGCTTCGCCATATTTTGTGTTTGACATATTCTCCCGATTTCCGGACATGAGCTTGGGCGCCAGACACAACAGAAATTCAACCGTAGCAACATTATCATTGAACACTATAATCGAACAAAAAGCTTCGGTCAAGTTGATGAACGTAAAATCACGATATAAGACAAAAAAATTAGAAACGTTTGTAAGCGTGCGCTGTTAGTATCAGGTGGAACAGGCCGTTATACGTTTCACTAGTTGAGGGAAGCGGAGATGAATACAAACACATGGGTATTAAAAATAAAAAATGGCCGATGTCATACCTGCAGACGGGCGTCTGGTACTCGGGAACAACTAAAATGTATATAATAGCCGAATCACGGACGTTTCACCCCCGCCGTTTCATCCCCATCATAAAAACCAGTCCACGGACGTTTCGTCACCGGCAATTATTGAGATAGGACATTTCGTCCCGGAGAGTTATTAGCCATAGGACGTTTGGTCCCCGGCATATTTTCATTAGGTATATTACATTCGGTTCTCAGGTTATTAAATATTACTTCAAAGTTCATTATTTTACTTACATTTACTACATTTATTTTTAATGAACAATTCTGTAATGTCTAATATACAGTGTTGTAAAGTATTTGAGTAAAAGTATTCCAATACTTTTTTTCCGTATTGAATACTATTTTATTGAATACGTTTACCATACTAGCCAATATTGTTCTGTCAATTAAAACGGACTTACGTTGATGTCGAACCGGTCGGTCGAGTCTTGAGGCAACTGGTTTTGGCACACTCCACAATTTGTTTTTTATATCACTGGACTTATGTATGGATGCCTGTAAACATAACAAATATACATAGTATGGATAGACAGGCGGTAGTAGACGCGCAGGTGGATGTAAGCGTCACTTTGGCTTGGAGGGGTGGGGATAAAACACGTCGTATGAACCAAAACAGTGGTGCCAAATACTATCTGACGTGAAAACGGCCGATGGGGTGTCAAAAAAATGGCTGACGTGTAACCGCCCGAAAAGGGTCCTGTGCAAGCGATGCTCGGTGGTCCAGCGGACACCTGTTGGCTGTTACTACTGGGAACAAGCGAAATTGATACAATATTATATGGGTATAAGGTCAAGTAAAACTGACTTACGTCGATGGGACCGGTGATAAATACTTCTGAGTCATGAGATATTATGAACTAGAACAACTTGATGATAGTGCCTACGGAAATGGGGGATTCACAACACTTGTGTTTGATGCCTTTGGACTTGTCCTTGGATGCCAGACACAACAGAAATGCAACGTCCTTGGCAGCGAGAACCTTCATTTGGACACTAGATCAGAACACAAAGCGTTGGTCATATTAATTCATATTAAAAACGTGGTAAAGCAAATCAAATATCAACAGGTCAGTAATTGTTGTGCGTTAGCAGTCGTTAGTGGTTGCCACAGGTGGATAGATGCGTCATTAATTCACGTGTGCTGAGGGAGAGTTAAAAAAATGTGACATACCTACAAAGGAAAAGAGAGCCTTCAACTGGTTAACGTTCTACCTACTGGACTAAAGTATCTTCCACCGTGATTTTTGTAAAAACGTGGTAGGACAAAAAAGGCAACAGTTCGGACATTAGCAAATGTGTATAAACGGCTGCTGCAGCGGCAGGTGATTCAAAGGAAACAATGAAAAATTCGCCATGCTCACACATACGGTGGTCTTACAATAGGCTAAAGGGTGGCTAGTACACGTGAAAGTTTAAAATTGTTACAATAATATTATACGGTGAAATAAAACAGACTTACCGGTGGTAACGGGATTTTGGATGCTCCACCACATGTATTTGACTTCGCAGGACCTGTGCTTGAACGTCAGAGAAAACAGAAATTCAGAAATACTTTTTATTAGGACATTAGAGTCGAACACATAGACGTCGGTAGACGCAACAGAAACACAATGTGTGTAGGCAGTCGGCGGTGGGATCGACAGGTTGTTTGACACGTTACTTTTCCAATAGTGTGGGGGTGGGTAAAATACTACCCTCGCACTACAAAACACAGTGGTGCCAAACTGCCAACATATAATACTATCTAACTGGGGACTCTGTTCACCAAGGATGTTCGGCCACCAGGGGAATTTATCAAGCTTCGGGTAAACTACCCATTAGATAATATTAGTATATTGATGAACAACTCATTCTAATTATAAAGGTACGCCTTGGATGGAGCTTAAAGTAATAAAACTATTGAGGCTGAATATTACATGAATATCATTAATATCCTATTGAAGTAAAATTTAACACCATACTATCCTCCTTACAACTCAGTTAACATTATATGGCGTTATTATATCAGTGAGATCAATTGATAATAAACGATTGATAATCCCTGTATGTCTGTACAGCCAGAAAGCCGAGCATTTGTCAGAGTCAACAAATTTTAAGCTTTATAACTTACAAATAATAATATTATTATATTAATTCAACTTACAGGCTGTAACAAATAATAACAATATAAAAAATCCAGACTGACAAACAGTCTCCGCTTAGAACCGTTTTTCTTATACAATGATATTATATCATTGAATCCATGTTTTATTCAATTCATTATACATCGACCCACTTGTAACCTACTGTTCAGCAGAGTGAAATTCACTTAAACGCTTTTTTTTTTATTTCGTATGGCTTTATTAGGTTGATACAGCCATTTGGTTTACAATATGATATTAGGTGTTATAGAATCGCGTCGTAGCAACCAAAAAAAGATTGAGTATTAAGTGTAGTACATAATTATGTAATTAAAAATGTTCAGGATTTTAATGAAAATAATGCTAAATATTTCAATATTTGTGAGCAAGACAGTACTCCTAACCTAGCCCAGGTAAATCGGCTAGTGGCTTCTATTATTTTAAAATGGTGTGAGCAAATAGAATATTAAAGAATACAAATTATATATATCCTCTGAAAATAAAAAATAATTGAAATATTTAAGTTTTAAATTCTGAGCTGAACGATGAATGTATTGATTTTATAATGTTGTGTATTTAAAATATAAACTGATTAGTATAATTTTTGAAATTTAGCTACTGCCTAACAGTGACCTATAATTTAATTAAAAAAATACAAATTGTAAAACCATGTTGAGTGTTTAGAAAGTCAGTCCATTCATGGGTGTCAGACGATACCTGACTGATCATTCCACCCGTGGTGGATTGATAACCATAATATGTGCCTTTGCATGTCCTGTGTTTTTCATGAGTTCAAGTGTTAAGTCAAAAATCGTGTTCGAATGTCTAGCAAGTCAGTAACCTCAAGTGGAAATTGATTAAAATTCTGCAAAGGCATCTAGTCCAGTAAAAAAAATATAATTTGTAATATTATGGTCTGGCCGGTGTGCTACGCCATATTTCAAGACGACCGTAAATGTGTGATTCGATGTGGCCGCACGCCAGCTGTTACGACGTGACCATCGGTGTTCCGACCAACACCGGGTATAGCAGTTATCGATGATCAACAGTTGCGAGGGTGCGTTTCTGGGACCGAATCTAGCCGTCTGGTCCCATACGTGATAGCTGGGATCATTATTCATTAATTACAAAATTATAGTATTTATCTAAAAGTTTGTTGTGACTTGAAAAGTGATTATAGCTTATTTTTTCAAACCTTATAGTTACCAAGCTAGAGGATAGCTCAATAGCTCATACATGATTTTATTTTTCGGCTAACAATAAAATCATACAACATTTTGTAAAGAGGATGCCATTGGTTATATCATATTACTATTATAAATAGTAGAAATTTTGCATTTAAATTATTCTAAGAATCTATAATATTAATAATAGTTGTCTCCAACATGCTTACTATATGTTCATGTTGAAGACTGTAGATACTCATTGTTGAAAATGCTGCCACATTTGATGCGTCCTTATTTAAAAACTAAACCCACATTTCAGTCGGCCCCAACTTTTATATAAAGTAGAAAATAGTTTTAAATGTTATTTCTGATAATCCTCTGAAGGTATTTGTAAAAACTTTAGCCTACAATATACCCTAAAGTATTATAGGCTATAACCACCATCAATAAACGAGTTTTATTTAAAAAAAAATTAAATTAATTCCTTTGTTTAAATAACATATGGCTACTATCGGTTACACATAATAAAATAGTTATTATGATTGCTTATTATTTTGATATGAATTATCTAAATATCGTACGAACACTTTGTAGAAATTAAATGTTGTAATATTGTGAACTGTAATTTAAAACTTGTAAGTACGGTTTTTTTCAAGTCATAATTAAAATTTATAACGAAAACCGTTTAGTACGATCGATAAACATTTTTCTACCGAAATCAAAATCAGACAACGTTAACTAACTTTTATTTTGTTAAAACAATAAGTAAGTTGTCGTACAATTCGAATCGTTAATTTATATTTTTATTTGTTATCTTGTTATTGACATGTGCAGCGAGTACCTACATGAGTGGTACCCGCCTTGAATTTCAACCACACTAATTGTTTACAACTCAAAGATCCCTAAGACGAGATAAATTGCCTAAATGTCGCACTTTAAATAAGCTATGTCGAGGCCTCTTAATATGATTGGAAAAAGATTGATAATTTTGACCAAAAAAACGAACAAATAATTTTTGTATATTATATTTAATTAATATAATAAATTATGAAAATATTTCGTTACATTGACATATTATAATTACGTGCGGGTGCCAGTGCGCTAGCTCTGCTCTATTTATTTTAAACCACGATTTAAGGTAGTACTATATCCTAACATTCTTAACTATCTTTAGTATCTTAAATCGTGTTTTATACACAGTCACTCACACTAATGATCACTTACTAGCTAGTATACATATTTTCAGTCCTGTAAAGAATACTTTTGAAAAGTATTTAAGATACTACTCAAATACTTTAATTGTATAGTATTTCAAATACTACTCAAATACTTTGAAAAAGTATTTGGAATACTTTTCAAATACTTTTGGTTTTTAAAGTGGGTTTCTAATTATTGTAATATAGACACATAGGTAGTAAATTTATAATCATTTTTATTTATTATTTATTAAATAAATGTTTATTACATTTTTTTTTTTTTTACATGAAATTTACAATCTGTTCTTAACTAGAACAATAAGCAAATGTGCATAGGGTATTTGCGTATGATTTTTTTTGAGGGAAGAAACCACCCATTGGTGATACTACCTATTTTGTGTTCTTAATTTATTCTAAAATTTCTAAAATTATTTCGAATAAAAATAAAATGTTCGAAATAAAAAACCAAAGCATTCAATACCAAAAAGTATTTAATACAAAAAAAAGTATTTAAAATACTATTCAAAATACTTCATGCTGAAAGTATTTAAAAAGTTATTCAATACTTAAAAAAGTATTTGAATACTTTTACTCAAATACTTTTACTCAAATACTTTACAGGACTGCATATTTTACATGAGCCTTGTAACATTACGTAGAAAATTGCCTATATTAAACTCCTTAAAAACGGCCAGGAATAAATCCCTTTCTCGGCCGCCACGTCTTTTTTGTCAAAAACCACTGTTTCTAATTCCAGCTAAATACTTGTCGACAATTATTCCGATTTTCATTCTAAAAAAATATTCAGATTATCCGTAATATAAACAACATACAAGGGTACACATTCCCTCAATCCTCTTGACTAGATGCCTTTGCAGAACTTTCCAGAATCAATTTCCACTTGAGGTTACTGACTTGCTAGACATTCCATCACGATTTTTGAATTTACACTTGAAAAACACAGTCTACAGGACATGCGAAGGCACATATTATGGTAATCAATCCACCACGGGCGGATTGATCAGTTAGGTATCGTCTGACACCCATGACTTCACTGACTTTCTAAACACTCAACACGGTTTTACAATTTATATATTTTTTTAATTAAAAAAAAGCACTATTCATTTGCTGGGCGACCGTATCAACCCCATTAAATTACCGATTTCCACGATCTAAGAGAGATTTCTATACACTTAACCCGACTTTCGGACATTCCCACCTTCGAAACCATACCGCAATACCGCAAAAGCGAAAACTAAAAATTAATAATCCGATATCTATAATAATATTGTGTTATTCTGTAATCCGTGTCAAGTGCCATACTGTGCGACTGTGATTAGGATACAACTAAATAGATTGGGTACCATGAGTAGGGATTTAAATTCTGCCTTATTAATATTAGAACTTTAATAAATAATTAATAACATTAAAATGTTGCACCTACCTATACTCAAGGACACGGCCTAATATTATAAATGATATATATTAGAGATGTCTTGTTCACAACAATCCACTTTAGCTATTTCTGACACTTGATGTACAAAAACTTATTATTTTATATAACTAAATTACAAATTACAAAATCTAATGAATAAATATCACAAAGAAAACATTGAAAAAACAATTTTGTATTTTTTGAAGTTAATATTTTTATTATAGTCCC